ACTTAAAAAAATCAGCTAAACTCAAAAAAGGGTAGTAATAAAGGAAATGAGGACCAAAAATGTAAAAGTAAAAAGGAAGGCAGAAATCCTTCTGTATCAGGTAAAATGGATAAAAATCAAACTCAGTATCCAACTCTGTGGCACCCAACTTTTGCCTGCTTTCTTTTCCTTCATCACCACCACCATCATCATTGTTGGAGTGGAGGGAATCCATTATTATTACTATAGTGGAGAGAATCTTAACATAATTCATAGGTATAAAAAAATAGAATGATTTTGCTTTGGTGGTGTTGTGCAGTGGAGTCGTTCCGACTCATAACCACCCTGTATAGGGTTTCCAAGGCTGTAAATTTTTCCAGGAGCAGAAAGGCTCACCTTTCTCCCAAGGAGCAGCTGATAGTTTCGAACTGCTGATCTTGAGGTCAGCAGCCCTATTCGTAAAACCACTATGTTACCTATATGTTTCAGCAAAGCATATTGTTGTTGTTAGGTGCCATCGAGTTGGTTCTGACTCCTAGTGACCCTGTGTGCAACTACACAAAGCACTGCCCAGTCCTCTCCCATCCTCAGAATTGTTGGTCTGTTTGAGCCCATTGTTGCAGCCACTGCATCAGTCCGCCTCATTGTGTGGTCTCTCTCTTTTCAGCTGACCTTCCACTTTACTAAACATGATGCCCTTCTACAGGCAATGACCCTCTTTGTCAAGTCAAGAGATGAAATCTCACCATCTTCACTTCTAAGGAACACTCTGGTTGTACTTCTTCCAAAGCAGATTTATTTGTTCTGGCATTCCATGGGTATATTCATTATTTTTTGCAAACATCATTATTCAAATGCATTATCTTTTCTTTAACCTTCCTTATTTGTTGTCCAGATTTCACATGCTTATGAGGTGACTGGAAATACCATGGCTTGGGTCAGATGTACCTTAATCCTCAAAGTGACACCTTTGTTCTTTAACACTTTAAAGAGGTCTTTTGCACTATTTTGCAATAGTTTTGATGAAAGTCATTTAGATAGATTTTCTAATCAAGCAATACACTTAGTTGTTTTTTTCACTCTCAAAATGCTTATTAATAGGATGTTATGCCAATTTACTGTTTAGGAGCTGTTGCATTTCTATAATTTTTCATTACATTAGGCTTTGTTTTAGGATTTAATGTCAGATTAATACTATAAGTGAATTCCGATTAGTTAATCCCAGGTATTTGCAATTTTGTGTTGATTTTTCCCCTTTTCTTAAATCAGCGGTGAGTGGGATTGTTGTTGTTGGTTCAGTTCTAACTCATACTGGCCCTGTGTAGGGTTTCTGAGGAGCGACTCGTGGGTTTGAACTGATGACGTTGTGGTTAGCATCCCAGTGCTTACCCTACAGTGCCACACCAGTAAGTGAGATTAAGATTGTTGAATTTAATTTGAGTTTCCAGTGATATTATGATAACGCTGGTCTTTAAAAGTATGGTGTGTTTAGTGGTACACATTCTTGCTTTTGGCAGTCTCTGCTTTTATTACGTACAAGGTGGCTTCAGAAAGTTCAATGACAAATGGAATAAAAAGGAGCTCTGGTAGTGTAGTGGTTACAAATCAGGCTGCTAACCTCAAGGTTGGCAGTTCAAAACTACCAGCTGTTCCACGAGAGAAAGATGAGGCTTTCTGCTCCAGTAAAGATTTACAACCCTCAGAAACCCAGTGCAGGGTTGCTGTGAGTCGGAACCCACTCCACGGTACTTAACAACAACAACAGAGTCGGAACTGACTCCACAGCACATAACAACAACACAGAGGTTTGGAAGGCAGCCATCACTCAATATATCACCTTAAGGATGTTACGTTTGAATAATATGTGTTCAGGCAGTTAGTCTTGCTTTTAGTAGGTGCTTCTTCCTTTCTTTTCTTTGTGATTGAATTAACAATTTAAACCCAAAATAGAGAATTTTTATAAAGATTATTTTCTCTCAGAACTTAGTTCCTACTTTAAGTGTAGTCAGTGAAGCGCTATTTTCCCAAACAATGACTAGAGTACTGATAACAAAAGAACAAAAGAGAGAACATAGTCTTCTTTAAATTTTGAATTCAACTAGTAATTACCCTTAAATTAAAATGCCAGGAATTCTAGTCTTAACTTTCCAGTTTCAAGAAATGAGTTGTCAGGATTCTGATACACTGTATTCTTTTACAAAAACATTATTAAACTTTTGGGGGGTTTTGTGTGGTGATGCAGGATAATGCACTGGACTGCAAGGTTAGTTTGAATTGTGAGGTCTGCTGTTCAAATTTACTAGCCACTCCTTGGAAACTCTATACAGTGTTGCTATGAGTCAGGACCAACTCCACAGCATTTAACAACAACAAAAATAGACACAATGCACAGTGTTTTTTAGAAACTAGAAAAGCAGAGAATATCTTTTTTTCCTTTAACCCTGCTCCCCAAAGCATACTGCTATTAAGTTTGTTTTCTTTCTAAAATTTTTTATTGTGTATTGAGTGTAGGTTTTCAGAGCAGATCATCATTTTTACATTCATCAAATCATTTATTTACTTTGGAATGATTACAATCCTATCCATGTACCAGTAAACTGTTTTGACTTCTATTTACTCTGGTAGCGTAGTGGTTACGAATTGGGCTGCTTAATCTTAAGGTCGGCTGTTCGAAACTACCTGCTGTTCCATGGGAGAAAGATGAGGCTTTCTGCTCCCATTAAGATTTACAGCCTCGGAAACCCTGTACAGGGTCACTATGAGTCGGAACCGACTCCACAGTATTTAACAACAATAACAACAACTTGAACTTGAACTTGAACTTGTAGAGTTCTGATGTGGCACTGGATGAGCACTGGAGCGCAAGGTCGTTTGAACCACAAGGTGGGCGGGGAAACCTACCAGCAGCTCTTGGAAACCCTATACTATGTTGCTCTGAGTCTTAACTTTTTACAACATTGGTCTCAACAGTTTTTGTCCCTTTGTGATTGTTGTTGTTAATTCCGACTTATAGTGACCTTATAGGACAGTGTTGAATTACCCAGCCCATAGGTAATTCCAAGACTGTAGTCTTTATGGAAATAGAGTACCACATTTACCCGCTGAGGTCCTGGTGGGTTGTAACCACCAACCTTTCAGTTAACAACTGCTTGATTACTGTACCACCAGGGCTTTTGCTGACTATGGCAATAGTCTTCTAATTTATAATCTATTTTCAATCAGCAACCAGAGTGATTCTGCATAAGTCAGATCCTTTTATTTCTTTGCGCTTCAACAATAGTTTCTCATCTCCTTCATCAAAATCCTTCTGTCCTATGAAATTCTAAGTCATTTGATAATTTCTGTCTCATTGCCCACTACACTTTCCTTATTCCATTTACCACAGTTGTTGTTTTTGTTATTATTACATGTCATCAGTCTATTCTGACTCATAACAATCCTATGCACAATAGAAGAAAACACTGTCTAATCCTGCACCATCCTTACAATCGTTAAGCTTGAGCCCATTGCTGCTACCCCTGTGCCAGTACATCTTGTTGGGGTCTTCCTCTTTTTAGCTGATAATCCACTGTACCTAGCATGATGTCCTCCAAAGACTGGTCCCTCCTGATAATATGTCTGAAGTATGAGAGACGAAGTCTCACCATCCTGGCTTCTAAGGAACATTCTGGTTGTACTTCTTCCAACACAGATTTGTTTGTTCTACTAGCAAACCATGGTACTACTAATATTCTTCTCCAGCACCATAACTCCAATGCATCAATTCATCCATTATTTATTATCCAACTTTTGCATGCATATAAGGCTATTGAAAATACCATGATGTGGGTCAGATGCACTTTAGCCCTCAAACTGACATCTTTGCTCTTGAACATTTTAAAGGAGGTCTTGTGCAGCGAACCCTGATATTATGCAGCAGTAGTCTCCTGGATATTCCTTAAATAGGTTTCATGGTCCTAACTTTGTGCTTGCTCTTTGCTCCTTTACCTGGAGTATCCTCTATTAGGTGTTTTGCTAGCTTGCCCCTCATGTAACTCAGATCTTGACTTAGAGTCATCTCAGTGAGGCCTAAAGGTCTTTCCAGGCTGAAATTCTGCCCTGCTTCCATGACGTGCCCTGTAACACCTTCCTGCCTAATTTTTTCTTCTGTACATTGATTACTATATATTTTAACTATTTATCTTTTTTATCAAGCAAGATTTGCTGAAGAAAATAAATTTTGTTGAAGCAGTTGAATGAATGTATTGTGTGCATATAATGTGTCAAATATCATGTGGGCACTAGGATATGTTGATTGACCAGACAAAAATCCTTGCTGTTTGGGAAGTTATATTTTTTGTGAGGATTAAAGTATGATGAATTGTTATTCATGGTAGTTGCTAAAACCAAGTGGGGACCATGTCTGACTTCCTTTGGCTTTACGAGGGGAAGAGAGAATAAAATTCAAAATCAGCCCAAGGCCAGTTCCTATGAAGTGAAGGTCAGACATGCCTCCCCTCTACGACCTTCTTTACTTCATTCTGACACCAACCATCCCTCCCACAGCACTCTGCTTCACATCTGGGTTTGATAATTAATTGCAATAGTCACAGAGAACGCATAATCATACTCACAATTAAGGAGTTTATTAAGGAAGTGAACAGGGTACAACTCCAGATCAGAAAAGCTGAGGACGAAGCTGTTCTCCAGTCAGGAATGCCTTTTGTCTGCCATACTGCAGGCACACCTCACTGTTGTCTTTGGCCTCTCAGACATGTGCCCCCTTGACCTCTGCCCATCTTGGACAAGTATTACAAAGCTCTTTTTGCCAGTCTACAATAACCCAAAGGGCATATTTTGCAAGCCAGTCTCCTGCCCGTAGGTACTCAGTGACTCTATAGGATTTCCATGGAGTGGTGGATGGGTTTGAACCACCAACCTTCTGGTTCAAACTGACCTGTGGCCCAGTGCTTTATTTATATTTATTTCTGTGTATCACCATTATGTATCAGTCTTACTACTTGCAATTTTCTTTTTCTAGAATTTCCAGATTTACAGAATGACTACACATTGATGGAAAGAAAAGCATAAACCTTTATCTTCTTTCACTATGGAGGCAGGTTTGGCAGATGGTGGAGAACCTGACCGAACTTTGGTGAGTGATTAAAATATAGAATACGAAGATACTGTTATGTAAAGCTGTAAAGTTTTATGGGAGCTATGGGGCTAAAATGTATTAAAAACAAGCTTTAAACAATATTCAAAGTTATACTTTAACTTCTCTACTATTATGAAGATTACAAATAGTTTTGAGGTATGTTAGCACACAACCCAGTTTGTTTTTTGATATTCCTGACCTTCTTTTGTGACTTTCTTCTCCCCACCCTCCCAGTAAGGCATACTGATACAATTGTTTGGGTTTATTTTTTTATCCCCAAAAACTTTTGTGTTCTGTGAAATCAGTAGGATGGTAATAGTCATTAAAAGGACTCTAGATCTCAAAATCACATGGAACTTTGAGCAGGTGAGGGGAATAAGACAGTTGAAATAATTTGGAATTAAGAGCAGTTGTGCCACCTGTATTCTTTCTTTAAAAATACAGATGTTAAATAATCATTGCTGCCTTAGGATTGTGGTTTAATTGTTTTCTGAAATTAAGGTAAGTAGGAGTCCTGGTGTGGCACTATGGGTTAATGCATCAGACTGCAAAGCTGTTTGAACTGCACAGCCCGTGGTTCAAGCTTACCAGTTGCTCCTTGGAAAATTTATACAGGGCCGTTACAGGTTGGAACTGATTTGACGGCACTTAACAACAACAAAAACAACAAATAGGGGTATACACTAATAAATTAGTGTATAATTTATTCAGTAAACTGAAAAAGGGTAGATTAGATGCTGGTTTGTTATGTACAAATAGATTTTACTATGGAAAAACTATTTTCTATTCTCTTGCTATATTTTGAGTGATTCCATTAAATATTGATTTATAAACTCGTAATTAGCATATTTTTCATTATCTAGAGTGAGGGTACCCATGTATAAAATGTAGTCAGTTGACAGTTCTATGATTCGTTAAGTGGTCGATTTAACAAATTTATATGAGAGGCTGTCAACAAGTTCATATAATAAATACATTATCTTTTCATTCCATTTGTCCATGAATTTTTTGAAGTCCTCTCCTATTTCTGGAATTGGATGGAGGCCAACTTTTCTTTTATATTGCAATAGAGATCAGTGTCATAGTATCGTTTTTTGGGGGGGATGGGATGGGTAGGAGTAAGGAGTGAGGTTTAGGGTTGCGACTAGGATTAGGTCTGGGGTAGGCCTAGGACTTCATTTATGGTTAGAACTAGGGTTAGTGTTAGGAGTAAAGGTTGGGCTAGGGCTAAGAGTAAGGGTTGGTCTAATTTTTAGGGTTATAGTTAGGTTTATTTCTATTTATTTGTTTTATTGTTTTCTTGAAATCTTTGATTTCCTCTATATTTGGAAGCTGTGTAACTACAGTATTCCCTCTTTTAATTTATGGGGTTTTTGTTGCAACTGTATTTCTGATTCTCTCTTTTCAGTCTTGTGCAGCAGATTTGCCTAATGCAATAAATACATTGTTTGATTTCTTGACTGTTGCTTCCGTGATATATCTATACCTACACACATACATGTGTATATGTGTGTGTTTATATATATGTGTGTATATATGTATATACACACACACACACACACGTTGTCTCTTCCTGTTCTGTAATTCTATCATGTACAATTTATTCCTCTTGATAGTGCCCCACATAAAACTTAGGCTTTCTTTGGTTTTGTTCTTTTTTCTGATTGCTACTCTGCTGTTGTTAAGTTCTATGGAGTTGGTTCTGACTTACAGGAACCCTTTATAGTGTTTCCAAGGAGCAGCTGATGGGTTTGTACTACCAGTGTCGTGGTTCGCAGTCCATTGATTATCCTCTAGCACTACACCAGAAGTCCATCCTGTTCCTCTAGCAGATGAATTTTGAGAGATTGTTTGCAAGCTCAATAATTAGGTTTTCCATTGATTCAATTCTGTTTCTTTACCCTTTCAATGTGTTTTCTGTTTGTGAAATCTTTGTCTTGATCTTCTGGCTTTCTAATTGCTGTTTTTTTATGGTTCCCATTTCTTCAATTACTCTGTGAGTTTGTTTGCTGAATTGATCCATAGCTTTGTTTGTTTTCCTTGATTTCATCTGTAGTTTTTTCTTTCTAACAATTCCTTGCAATTGCCTAATTAGCATTCTTTTAAATTCCTTATCAGATAGCTCATATATAATTCTGGTGTTATATTTTCTGATTCTCTATTTTTCTCACCAAAATATTGTCAGATATAGTGTTGGGAGATGAGCACCTCAGGTTAGAAGGCAATCATCTGTCAGTTTGTCATACTATAGTGGCCTGAGTGTTCCTTTTTATCTGGAAGATATGCCACCAGTATTTTAAATGCCAGCAGGGTCACGTATGATGGACAGAGTTCAGCTGAGATTCCAGATTAAGACAGGTTGGGAAGAAGGAAAGATGAACTACTTCTGAATATTTAGTCACTGAAAGCCTTATGAATAGTAGTAGAAAACTGTCAGTACCATAATATTGAATATTGAAACATGATGAAGAACACTAGAATATTGTCAGATACAGTGCCAGAAGATGAACACCTCAGGTTGGAAGGTACTCAAAAATATACTGGGGAAGAGCTGCCTCCTGAAAGTAAGAGTTCACCTTGATGATGCAAATGGAGTAAAGCCCTCTGGACCTTCATTTGCTAATGGAGCACAACCCAAGATAAAGAGAAACAGCTGTAAACATATGTTAATAATTAGAAAATGTAATGTAAGAAATTGAATCTAGGAAAATGGGAAGTTTTCATAATTGAAAGGGAACATGTAAAGATCGATATATCCTAGGCATTAGGAAATAAAAGTTGGAAACAAAGAGTAAGGATCAGCAGTTGGAAATATGGCCTTGGTGTTAGAAATGATGCTGGAAATCACATGATAGACTTTTGCAAGACCAATGACATCTTCATTGCAAATACCTTTTTAAAACAACACAATAGACAATTATACACATGGACCTCATCAGATGGAATACACAGAAATCAAATTGACTACATCTGTGGAAAGAGATGGTGAAAAAGCTCCATATCATCAGCCAAAACAAGGCCAGGGGCAATCATCAGTTGTTTATATGTAAGGTCAGGCTGAAGCTAAAGAAAATTAAAATAGGTCCACAAGAGCTAAAATATGACCTTGAACATATCCTTTCTGAATTTAGAGATCATCTGAAGAACAGATTTGAAGCATTAGACACTAATGACTAAAAGACCAGACAGATTGTCGAATGATATCAAGAACATCATACAGGAAGAAAGTAAAAGGTAATTAAGAAGACAAGAAAGAAGGACAAGACAAAAATGAATGTAACATGAGACTCTGAAACTTGCTCTCCTGCATAGAGATATTAAAGCAAATAGAAGAAATGAGGAAGTAAAAGAGCTGAGCAGAAAATTTCAAAGGGCAACTTGAGAAGACAAAGTAAAATATTATGATATGTGCAACGACCTGGAGTTAGAAAATCAAAAAAGAAAGACATGCTCAGCAGTTTTCAAGCTGAAAGAACTGAAGACAAACTTCAAGCCTCAACTTGCAATATTGAAGGATTTTGTGGACAAAATGGAGTCCTTGTGTGGCACTGTAGGTTAATGTACTGGACTGCAAAGTCAGCTTGAACCACAAAGTAGGCGATTCAAGCTCACCAGCGGCTCTTTGGAAACCCTATACAGGGTCCATATGAATCGGAACCAACTCCATGGCATTTAATAACAACATGGACAAAATACTGAATGATGCAGAAAACATCAAAAGAAGATGGAAGGAATATACAGAGTCACCGTACCAAAAAGAAATGGTCAGTGTTTAACCATTTCAAGAGATAGCTTATTATCAAGAGCCAATGGTACTGAAGGAAGAGGAAATCGAAGGTCCATTGAAGGCATTGGCAAAGAGCAAAGCACCGGGAATTGGTGGAATACAATTTAAAATCCTTGAACAAACTATTGAAGTGTACTGGAGATACTCATCTATGCCAATAAATTTAGAAGACAGCTACCTTACAAGCTGATTAGAAGAGATCCACATTTGTGCCTTTTCAAAGAGAGGTGACCCAACAGAATGTGGAAATCTTGAGAAGAGCATGTGGAACAAGTGCTATCATTGCTGACGTCCAGTGGATCATCGCTGAAAGCAGAGAATACCAGAAGGATGTTTACCTATACTTTATCAACTGTGCAAAGTCTTTTTATAGTGTGGATCATGACAAGGTATGGACAACATTGTGAAGAATGAGTATTCCAGAACACTTAATTGTGCTCATAAGGAACCTGTACATAGACCAAGAGGCAGTCGTTCAAACAGAAAGCCAGGATTGTATTCTTTCACCGTATTTATTCAATCTGTGTGCTGAGCATATAATCCGAGAAGCTGGATTATATGAAGAAGAACATGGCATCAGCATTGAAGGGAAGACTCATTAGCAGCTTGCGATTTGTAGATGATACAATCTTTCCTGCTGAAAGGGAAGAGGACTTAAAATATTTCATGATGAAGATCCCAAACCATAGCCTTTGGTAGTGGTTGCACCTCAGTGTAAAGAACACAAAGATCCTCACCATTGAATCAATACATGACATCAAGATAATGGAGAAAAGATTGAGTTTTAAAGACTTCATTTTGCTTGGGATCAACCATCAGCATTCCTGAATGGAAGCAACATTCAGGAATCTGTTACACAAGATCTTTTTAAAATGTTCAAGAGCAAAGATGTCAGTTTGAGGTCTAAGGTGCACCTCACTCAAGCCGTGGTATTTTCAGTATTCTCATATGTATGTAAAAGTTGGAAAATGAATAAGGAAGCTAGTAGAAGAATTGATGCACTTGAATTATGGTATTGGAGGAGAATGTTGAAAGTACTATGGAATTCCAGAAGAACAAACCAATCTGTGCTGGAAGAAGTGCAACTAGACTGCTCCTTTGGAAGCCAAGGTAGCCAGACTTTGTCTTCCATATTTCAGACATATTATCAGGAGGGACCAGTACCTGGAGGACATCATGTTTGATGAAGTAGAGAGTCAGTGAAGAAGAG